CAAAAACAAAAGGAAAACTAACATGTTACAATAAGAAAATAATATAATAAACACATCTTCTCTACTCCAAACCAAAGATTGACATTGTCCTCAATGTTTAAACATATAAGCATAATAAAAAGAGGAGGGTAGTGTGACCTGAGAATTGACATCCAAAGTGAAAGCCTCTAACTTGTTAGTGTACTTAAAAAAGAAAAAAAAAATAGAAATGCAGAATTTTTTTTTATAAAAAAAAGTGAACATAAATTTCTAGACTAATTATATACAACATATGGATTAAGGGAAGTCCAATCAATCCTAGTAAATAGGATCGTTCAAACAAATTGTCTCATCTTCTAGAACACATCTCCCCAACGAAGGTTTAAGTCGCTGGTCATTAACTTTAAAAATATTTCCATTCTTGGTGATAAGTGCCTTATTTCTTATATTTTTATACCTTTTATTTTGGTTTTTGTAGGGAAAGTTAATTAAAAATAGCGTTATTACTTTACTTTCCTTATTTTCAACTTTTTTGCACTTTTAGAAGGTTTTTTTTATGGAAAATCTGCTTTCCAAAGGAGTTTTAGTGCAAGGCAAATTGGAGAAGAAAGCTAAGGCATTGAAGATCATTGTGTCAAACTTTCATAATTTTCTATGTAGCCAATTGTTCCAGAATTGCAAGTCAACACAACTTAAGTTGTAATCCCGTCAGAACTATGCTGCTATGGGAGATTGAACATTTGAAGACCTTCTCGATTTTTCTAAATGAAGTGTAATATATCTCTGGAAAGCTTAGTGATAAAGCTACGTCTCTCATATTTTTCTAGATGTTTCTAGGAAGTGGAACATCCCTAAAAAATTTGTGCAAGTTAGCTGACGTGTCTCCTAGTCAAAGAAGGATTCTTTCCTAGTTTGTCTTCTTAATTGTTTGTGGTTTTGATTTTTTAGGAGAGTTTTTCAAGACCTTTTGAGATTAGGGTTTAGTTATTTTGCACTATATAAGGTTGCCCTAGGTCTCTAGAGAACGGGGTGTAGATAAAAGAGAAAAATATAGCTTTGGGCATGCCACCATGTTCCGGGTTTTATTATTTTATTGTATGTCTTTTCTTATTTTTATAACTATGTATAACTAAATTTCTTTCTAAGGTTTATGATGAAGCCATGACATGATTATTTGCGAAGTACTTTGTTGATTTCTATTCAATTATATGCCGTGTTAAATTCTTAATTTTTGTGTGAATTTTATTCTAGGTTTGAAATCCTATTGCTTGATCACCACTAGGAACTTTGCATCTAGATAATTGGATAAATCTAGGAGAGAAATGCCATCCACTAGGTCTATTGGAACTAAAATTAAGAAGAGTGGATAGCTATGAGAGAAACGCCATCCACTAGTCCTACTTGGTTGATAGAATTCTTCTAATCTTAACGTACGGGTTCTTATATGTTAAATTTTAACACCTTGACAGGGTAGAATTGCATATAGGGATACACGATTTATGACCTTGACAAGCTTACTTCATACTTTAGAAAGAACAACCTTTAACATTGGCATCATAATTGGATAGTAATTGGCTATAAGAAAAGGAAATATGATTGTCATTGGTGGATTCATAACCTTAGATCTTCATAACTTGATTTCTTTTAAACTCTATCTTTGTTGAGTGCTTTATTTTTCTTTCTTTTAATTCTTGCAATTTAAGTTTTCTTTAATTCATGACTCAAATCAATCAATGGTTCGTTTAATTGAGTTTAGTGCGATTTAATCAATTAAGTTATTTTTATCAATCCTTGTGGGTTCGACCTCGTAATTGCATATCTCTATACTATTGTTGATTCGTGCGCTTGCGAGTCATTTAATTTGCGATTTTTGGATACTCTTTTTCAGGTGTTCAAAAATCTGCATCACTTGGGATCCTTAACTTCAACAATCCCATATGGGAAAACTCTTTTAACAATGAAAGGCCCTGTCCATTTAGTTCTTAATTTTCCAAGAAACAAATGAAGTCTAGAATTATACAATAGAACAAGTTGAGAAGGCTCAAAATGTTTCCTCAAAATATTTTTATCATGAAAAATTTTAATACGTTCTTTGTAAATTCATGAGTTCTCATATGCATCATTCCTAACTTCCTCAAGTTCATTCAATTAAAGGACATAAAAATTAAAGTATTGAAAGTAAACGTACAGAAAGTACGACTACACGAAGTAAAGGTGGAGGAATTAAAGTATTGAAAGTAGAGATAAATGGAATAAAGAACTCTTGACTTTGAAGTTGCCACGAGCTGGGCTGGGTCGGGCATGCACGACATGCACCCAGCCCATTTAAATATGGCACAACACAATCCAAACACGATTATTGGTAGGCCGTGTTGGGATTAGAAAATTAAGTCTAATGAACCAGGTCAGCCCGTGGCTTGAACCATCTTCAAGCCTGCCCCAACCCACTTAAACTTTTTTGTTTTTTTTTGTTTTTTCTGTTTGGTCAAGGACCACTTTACATAAACCATATGTTAACCTCCTTCCCCTCTCAATATCTAGATATATGAACTTTCATTTGGTGACTTCTTATTCCCACTCTTCTTTTGTCCACTAACACTCCCTTTTTTGTTCTAGTAAAAACTATTTAAAAACAAAAGGGAGTGTAAGTGGACAAAAGGGGAGTGGAAAAAGTGAACCAAATAAATACTACAATAAATCCTCAATTTTTAGTCCCATATTACATATAAGAAAGGTATAAACATATTATAATTTTGTTATTGTATAAATTTAGGGAGCTGATTTTCCTACTCTCTTTTGCTTTTTAATAAATTTAAATTAATTTTGTTCTTTCTTGTTCTTTTCCTATTCTACCCTTATCCTACATTAATTTCTTTTTACTTCACTTTTACATTATTTCTTTTTTCCCTATACTTAATTTTCCAACTTGCATTCCATTTTCTTTTTCTTTATACTTTTATATTATTTTTATTTTTATTTTTTATGTTGTTAAATGAACATGATAATATTTTATTTATTTATTTAGAAAACCTATAATGCTTAATGAAGTTAATAAAAATCTGAATTAAACATTAAAAAAAAGAAAAGAAGGTCGTAGTCGGAGAGGGGACGAGATGCATAGCGATTGTAGAAGTGGGAACAACCTAGTAACCATGTCAATCTCTATCCCCAACCATTTTCCCCACCGACACCCAAAGGCCCCAACTCTCCCAGCCACACTTACCTCCCCAACTCCAATTCACCCACGTCTAATATATATATACTAGCCTCTCTGCACGCGCTTCCGCGCCTGCGAGAGGCTTTTTCTTAAAAAATTTAAATTTATTTTAGGATTAAAAAAGATAATGGGTAGTTGTGCTCCATAAAAATAGGATCCATTATCTAATTTTTCTTTTAATTAAAATTTTTTAAATATGAAAAGTGTGAATTTACCATATTATCCTCATTTAATTAATAATTTTAATTCTTAATGTTTGCATTAACCAAGGGCATTTTCTGGTATTTTGAATGTTTCACCATTCTCCGCCTTTTGCTTTATATATATAGATAAAATAAAAGCCCATGCAGCCTTACCACTCCGCAATGGTCCTTCCCACTTCTCCACCTATTGAGTAACTCCTCCCCTACTAGACTAAGCCCTTCATTTCTTTTTATTTTTTCAATTTTTTTTAATTTTTTCTAATGATATATTTTAGTTTAATTGAACTTTTAATGTATTTTAAAATTAATTCAACTTTTTATTAACTTCAAAAAGCTTCATAGGTTTTCAAAATAAAATGAAAAAAGATTATCATGTTTATTTAGCGACAACTTTAACGGAACGGACCAAATTGATTAATGATCTTAAACACAGGGATCAAATTAGCCAAATTGAATACTTATGGACTAAATTGGCCAACGTGATAACATACATGGACTATTTTGATATTAAAGCCAAAGAAATAATATAAAAGTGAAGTAAAAAGAACTTAATGTATAGCAAGGGTAGAATAGGAAAGAGAAAGAACAAAAAAGAAAAAGATTAATTAAAAAATATTTAAAAGCAAAAGGGAGTGTAAGTGGAGAAAAGGAGAGTGGGAAAGTCAGCTCCCTAAATTTAATATGCTAACATGAGTTTTTATTTTATTTAAAGTAAATCAATAGAAAAAAAAAAGTGTTGGAATCTCATCTTAAATTACTCATAAGGAATAAAAAAAATTGAACTATAACGAAGAGTAAATTTGTATGATGAGCGAAGAGCTTTAAAAAATAATAATAAAAAAAATACACACAAATCTAAATTAATCTAATATATGAGAAGGGGAATTCAAACTTAGGTGCAATGAGACGAACACACTACCCTGACCAAGTCACATAACACACTTCTGTCTTCTCTTTTTTATCCTTGGGATTTCGCGCTTTTTTTTTGGTCTGAACCATGAGGTGGTCCTGGATGGGCCCCAACTATGGCTGGCACCTTTAAGCCTTAACCACAACCCAGACTAATCCCCACTCACACTGGGTCGGCCCATAAGGGGTAAAGTGGGGATTTCGCGCTTTCAAGGCTTAATAACTTTACCTTTTGAAGTGGGCAATCGGGATTACAAAACAGGCGCAAACAACACATAGGTACTGCATTTATAAAACTTATCGCTCTGTATTTTGTGGTTTTATTTTTTTTATTTTTTGATGAAATTGTGTGACAAAATTTTGATTGAAAGGAAAAATATAACGATTTATACTAGTAAATTTTTTTTTTCATGCCATATGCTACACGATTTACCCTCATTATATATGGAAGCATAATGCGGCCTGAACATGTCATTACTTCTGGAAGGTTAAAAGATGGGATAATATGATTCCTACACACTAGACATAATAGTATTGGTGGATTTCTGGGTATTAACAAAATGCGAAATAATAGTATTCTACCATTAGAAGTGCACCAATTTGGTCACAAGAGAACTAACACCAACTTGAACACCAACGCAAGCAGCATAGCATTCAAGTTAAGAAGGGGAAGATTATCACAAGACAACAGATTTACTATGAGCAAGCGAGTCAAACTAATTCACTATAACTAGAACTTTCGCTTGTACTACATCAATGCAAATAAGGTCTTCGACATATTACCAAGAGGACAACGATACAGTTACAAGTGCCGATGCCATTTAGTGTCATAAAATTTACAAATATGCTTGCTTATATGGGGGATTGAGTTTGTAACCAATCCCATTAAAATGCGACGATATACTTTTAGGACGTACATATCTAATTCAAAGCAGAGTTGAGATTCCGTCTTCGTTCTTCATCATGAGCAGTTTGTGTCATAACTTGCAAGCCCCAACAACTCTGGGCCTTCGAGTCGACGGTTATTCTCAAAGCTACAATATTGGAACCGAAAAAGAAAAAAAAACAAATAAAGATTATTTCATATAACCACAGGAAAATAAAACTAGCAGCTGGAAATAAACCTATACGAGAAGACTATTAAGATCTTAGCTGCGTCTGCAGTGAAAACCCCTAGCCCAACCCCAGGCAACCTAAGTTTCCTTGGCATTGAAAACTGAACTTGCTCTTAACCATACCAAAGATTAAGTTCATAAATCTCTATTCTCAACGAATAGTGAGAAATAATGCATTCAATAGTTTTAAACTTCTACACTACACTACACGCAGACATAATTTCATGAAGTGTTGAAACGTGGTGGGGGTTGTGGGAACTCTAGAACAGTGTTTAATGAACTTATTTATTTCTTAAGACAGTCCATAAAATTTAGCAGTGTGCAGTGTCTGAGAGACCTATTTGTGTTTGACAAAAATCATTCCAATATGTTCACTAAGCATACCAAAATAACATAGCAGTAATCCCATTCGTTGACTTTATTCTCTATACAAACATCCTATAGCATGGAGGATGGAGTTTCACTCATTTCCAGATATGTTGTGCAAATCCAAGAAACTATACTTTCTGTTTATTTAATAATCATTCCAATATTTTACTCCAATAGACTGATAATGATGAGAAGCACAAAGTGCATCCCCCAACTCATTTGTCCATATACTCATGGTAATTTGCTTCTTACGTAATGCGAAATTCACTTTATCTATCTGAATATAAATGCTCAAGACCAAGCAAAAATATGCATCCCATATGCATTCTCACATATAGAGTATACAAGATCAGTAAACATGTGCAAAAGGCTAAGTATTGTATATGTGGCGACTTAAAGTCCAAGTAAAATCACAAGTAAAATAAACAACTGTTGAGCCCAAACACAGGAAGCATCATGCATGAGGACCTCAATGCAAACATGAACAGCAATGCAACCACCCAAGCCCTCTTTTCTTTTCTTTTTAAAGAGCAGGCACAAAGCCCTTTATTCTTTTTCTTAAAATTAAGTGTCAAAAAGGAAGGGATGAGCTCAAATACAGATATTTAAAATATAAAAGAAGAGAGAACGTGTAGTAGCCTTGGTTGTAGCCAGGGAAGAATTATTCCCGTTGAATTAACAAAGGACTACAAGATAAGGAAGCAAAATGATAAATGATAGAAGTGACCTACTTGTTTAAAGGGATGTGCTCAAATGGTCCACTGGTAGGAATCGTTCCACATAAATCATTGTTGGATACATCCCTGGAAAAGTGGCAATTTTAAATGATTAACATGCATTTATAACAGAAAACATACAATAAGGAAACTGCCACACTTGCAGAAAAAAGAAGGGATTGAAGAAATAGATTGAGACAAGAAGCACTCACACAACTTTGAGGCTTGAAATACCAACAAGATCCCGCGGGATTGGTCCAATTAACTTGTTATCATTGAGACGTCTACCAATCCAAGCAACAATGAAAGGAAGGCATAAATTACTACGCTAAGAAAACTCATTGTATCAATCTCAGTATACATATATAGACATATATATCTATGTATAAAGAAAGAGAGAGATAGAAACACAGAGACACAAAGAGGACCAGTAGGTCATGTATTGATACAAGGCCAGTGATTAGTCCCCTAATCTAAGTAACACTCAAGAAATTGCAAAATGCGACAATTCAAAAGCTACCAGATTCATTTTCCGGTGTTGCACCTGTGATCTAGGATCCCAAATAAGTTATCCATCAATATTCAAGCAAAATTGGAGTTGTCAGAAAGCCAACCTCCCAATTTCTCGTCCAAGAAAATAAACTAAATTAAGCCAAAACAGCCCAATAACACAGGTAAAGTTCAGTGCTTAATTTAAGCAACTCACAAAAACACAAGTGATTTCAATTTCCCCAATGAAGAAGGAATGGTCCCTGATAAGTTGTTGTTATATAAGTCCAAGCTAATGAGGCTCTTCAAGTTACCAAGCTCAGCTGGAATAGTTCATATATCTATATATGTATAAAGAAAGAGAGACACAGAGACACAAAGACACAAAGAGGACCAGTAGGTCATGTATTGATACAAGGCCAGTGATTAGTCCCCTAATCTAAGCCACACTCAAGAAATTGCAAAATGCGACAATTCAAAAGCTACCAGATTCATTTTCCTGTGTTGCACCTGTGATCTAGGATCCCAAATAAGTTATCCATCAATATTCAAGCAAAATTGGAGTTGTCAGAGAGCCAACCTCCCAATTTCTCGTCCAAGAAAATAAACTAAATTAAGCCAAAACATCCCAATAACACAGGTAAAGTTCAGTGCTTAATTTAAGCAACTCACAAAAACACAAGTGATTTCAATTTCCCCAATGAAGAAGGAATGGTCCCTGATAAGTTGTTGTTATATAAGTCCAAGCTAATGAGGCTCTTCAAGTTACCAAGCTCAGCTGGAATAGTTCCTTGAATGTTATTTTTGTACAGCTCCCTACATAATAAAGAGGTATAAGGGTTAGCCAGAAAGTACTTTAATCCAAGAACCTAAAATAAATGTAAGCTTTATGAACAACCCCAGCATATTGTCAGAGAAAATGAGAAAGGCTAAGAAACATACAGATATTGAACAACCCCATTCTAGCTAAACATACAGTTAAACAAAATCATCACAAAGGTAAAAATCAGTCAGTAATTTCCACAAATTACAGAAGAAAATAAATAAATAATCGTAGCAAATTAATAAGAAACGTAGAAATACCATCTGTAACATCTCCAAAAGAAGAAAACAGTCTCTTGAGTTGTTCATTATTAGTGAAGGATGATAATCTTAAGCAACAAACCCAAGAATCAAAACAAGCATTTTAAACAAAAAAACCCTAAAAATAGATTTGAGAGAAAGAAAGGGAAAGAGAGAATACTGCTGACGAAGAGCTGCGAAACTCAATCTTTTGGCCATCTCTGTGTCAACCCAAATCCCAGATATCTACTTTTTCTTTGAGCATGAAATCTGAAGAAGCAGATTTAACATTTATAGGAATGTATAGGAAGAAAAACGAGATCCAGACTCAGATTGGCTTTTGGCATCGCACCAAAGGTGTCCAGTAGAGAAACTAGAAAGACTCTACTAAAATTTGAAGGTTTCTCATGCACCAAAGGCGACCTTTCGAAGCTCGCCGCGGCTGAGGGATGGGCAGGGGTGGCTGGGCTTTAGCCCTGAGGAAAGCACCGGCCATGGTCGGAACATCTGAGAGAGAAAGAAGCAGTGATGGAGGAGAGAGAAGAAAGAGAGAGTTTGAGAGGGAGAGGAAAAAATTGAGAGGGAGATGGAAGTTAGGGCGAGAGTTTGAGAGGGATTGAAAAAATTGAGAGGGAGATGGAAGTTAGGGCGAGAGTTTGAGAGGGATTGAAAAAATTGAGAGGGAGATGGAAGTTAGGGCGAGAGTTTGAGAGGGATTGAAAAAATTGAGAGGGAGATGGAAGTTAGGGCGAGAGTTTGAGAGGGATTGAAAAAATTGAGAGGGAGATGGAAGTTAGGGCGAGAGTTTGAGAGGGATTGAAAAAATTGAGAGGGAGATGGAAGTTAGGGCGAGAGTTTGAGAGGGATTGAAAAAATTGAGAGGGAGATGGAAGTTAGGGCGAGAGTTTGAGAGGGATTGAAAAAATTGAGAGGGAGATGGAAGTTAGGGCGAGAGTTTGAGAGGGATTGAAAAAATTGAGAGGGAGATGGAAGTTAGGGCGAGAGTTTGAGAGGGATTGAAAAAATTGAGAGGGAGATGGAAGTTAGGGCGAGAGTTTGAGAGGGATTGAAAAAATTGAGAGGGAGATGGAAG